GGAGCATGGGCTCTAGGTGCACGGGCTCAGTAGACACCTCCAGGACATTGTTAACTACAAGTGGTAGGGCTTCCCTGATGGTCCAGTTGGTAAGAATCCACACTCCCAATGCAGGGGGCCTGGGTTTGAGCCCTGGTCAGGGAACTAGATCCCACATGCATGCCACAATTAAGAGATCCTGTGTGCCGCGATTAAGAGATCCTGCGTGACGCAACTAAGACCTGGTGCAGCCTAAATAAATGAACAAATATTTTTAAAAAATGTTTAAGAACAACAAAATAGATAAATTGTGATGTATTCTACAATGGAATACTATTCAGCAATGAAAAATAAGCTGCAACAACATGGATGAATTTTACAAAATAATGTAGAGCAAAAGAAATGACATAAAAGAATGATTCCATTTGTATAAAGTTCAAAAACGTGCAAAACTGAAATACACTGTTTAGGGATTCCAAAACTAGATGGTAACACTATGGAGGAAAGAGGAAACAATGATCAAAAACATCAGGGCAATGGTTACTTCTAGAAGAGGAGGGAGGGGGATGTGATTGGACAAAACAAAGAGGGAGCTCCTGGGGGGGGGCCCCACCATCACTTGACTCAGGTGTCACTTTATAGTTATTCGTTATTTAGTACTTCTGTGTCTTATTCACCTTCTGTATGCATGCTACATTTCACAATTAAAAACTTAACAATCTGATGCAAAAATGAAAACTTGGGCCCATGGGTATTTCTCTGTATTTTTATACTTTCTAAAAATGTATATTTTTAGAATGATTCTGATCATCAGCCAGCTTTGAGAACAGCTCTTAGGAAATTCTTCCTGATCTGCCCCTGCAAACAACCTACCATCACCAACAACAGACCTCCTCTCAGTCTCTCAACTAAGTGTCTGGGAGGCAAACGAGAAACTCCTCCCAGCTTCTCCAGCTCTTTCCCACTGGCCGCCCCCGGCTGGGTGACAGGGCCGCACACCCCTGTGCGTGCGCACACAGCACAGCAGTGGTCAAAGAGGCTACGTGCTGGCTCTCAGGGACCTGTTTCTCTTGCCAGCCGCAGGTCTCTCTGCTTTCTTGCCCCATTTACCAAACCAACCAGATTTGGCTGAAGGTGGACCATGGCCTGGATAGTATGTTTGTCTGGGCAGCTTGGAATGCCTGAGAGGAGACATTTCAAGCTATCCTGGGGAAAGATGCTGAGTGCCTGAAGAAGCCCAAGTCGAGAGAGTGGAAAGATACAGGAGAGACAGACCTGAGTTCTATGTAAACCTAGAAACTGGCCCAACCTCAGCTGCAAACTTCCTCACTTGATGGCATGCTTCCAAAGGCTCAGCAATCTAGGCTCATAGTGGGTACCTCTCTTCAGCAACTCTTATTCCAGATCTGCTGGGAATCTCCACATAGATCTTCCAATGAAGGCCTCTACTTCACATGGCCCATACTTTCTTCCTAAACCTCTTCCTTCTCTAGCATTCTCCAGCTTAGCGAAAGGGAATGATACCACCTTCCATCCAAGCCTAAAACCTGGGTCCTCCAGCTCTCTCATCAGCAAGTCCCATTGGTTCTACCTCTGAAACTCCAGGATCTGACCACTTCCTCCAAGCTGTTACTCCAGTCCTGACCGCCATCATCTCTCAGCTGGACTATTTCAACCATCTGCTAAACAAGCAAACAGGCTCCAGGATTTCCCTCCTCCTGTGGCTTCTTCACACAGTACTCAAAGAGATTGGTCTAAAATGCAAACATGATTACATCTCTCTCTTGCTTAAAAGCCTTCAGTGGCTCCATACTATCTTCTGGAAAACAACCAAATTTCCTAATATGGGGTATGAATCCCTTTATTTTCTAATTCTCTAGGTCTTATCTCTTATAATCCTATCCCTCAAATGCTTTGATCCAGCTCTACTGAAATTTTTATACTTCCTTAAAAGTACCAAGCCCTCTCACCTCTATACCTTTGTGCATGCTATACCCTCTTCCTATCCTTCCCACCCAAATCTTCCTTGGCCCCAGTAATTCCTACTTATTTCTCAGGTTGTGGGTTAAATGTCAGTTCCTCTGGGGGTCTTCCCTTGCGCCCCAGAGTCCTTTGTGTTCATTCAGCATCCCACCCGGTCACAATACCTCTCAGAGGTGTTGCTAAAGCCTGTTTAATTATCTGTCTTCGGATCCTGTCTGAATTCTTTGTCTTTTTTTTTTTTTTCGGTATTCTTTGCCTTTATCTGCCCCAGAACCTGATCCAGAATGACATAGAGCAAGCACCCGACACCTAACTGAATGAATGAGTGGACAGCTGTGTACCCAGAACTCTGAGACTTTTAAAAACGTAAAGAAGTCTCTACTTTCAAAAGTTTACAGACAACCTAAATCATCTTCACCCACAAAAACACCTCCAAGGGCCAGATGACACTGACCACGGCCAAAGCCAAATCGAGACCACCAGCTCAGGACAGGACAAATCACTAGTCAGAACCCCCAGCAGAAGGCTTGTCTGTGATTCTCACACTCGGCTCCAGTTCACTACCCACCCACTGACCCAGCTGGCACCAACTCCTGCTTCTGGCCCTACTTCATATAAAACATCCAGCAGAAAGACCAGACGCAGAAAAAGAACACGCAGAACACATACGGGAATGGGACTGAGCTGAGGGATGAAGGGTGGCAGCAGAGAAGAGCTCAGAATGAACTAAGGACCAGGGTTCAGTGCCGGCACCCCTGCAGGACCCTGCCCCACCAGAGCCACAGCTAGTGAGGTTCGAACCTACACAGCCAGCGGATGGTTCTGACTCCTCAACTTTCCTGCCAAAACCACTTCTGCCTGCTCAGCAGCTGCTCTCAGGAGTATGGGCTGGAGAGAGGTTCATACCCTTTCGGCCTGATCTGATGGAAACTACAGAAGGGCAGCATCACACAGGCACTTAATTTAGGAGAATTCGACCATGGGCCCCTGCAAAATAAATAAATAAAAAGACAGAGAGGGAATGAACACATATTCTCTCATAGTGCGAGCAACTCAGAACTGGGTGAGATTCTAGCGCCGAGACTTTTTTTTTTTTTTTTACAGGAACATTTATTTATTTATTTTTTGGCTGCATTGGGTCTTCGTTGCTGCACGCAGGGTTTCTCTAGTAGCGGTGAGCAGGGGCTACCCTTCGCTGCAGTGTGCAGGCTTCTCATTTGAGGTGTCTTCTCTTGTGGCGGAGTATGGGCTCTAGGTGTGCGGGCTTCAATAGTTGTGGCACGCGGGCTCAGCAGTTGTGGTTCACGGGCTCTAGAGCACAGGCTCAGTAGTTGTGGCACACAGGCTTAGTTGCTCCGCGGCATGTGGGATCTTCCCAGACCAGGGCTCGAACCCGTGTCCCGTGCATTGACAGGCAGATTTCTTAACCACTGCGCCACCAGGGAAGTCCTACTGCTGAGACATTTAGATTTTCCATAAAGCTGGCTCCTAAACTCAAAGAAACCTTGTTTATACCTTTCTTTTGTGTATTTTTAAAAATCCTTTCCCTCTTCTGCTCTTTTGCATTTATGTAATTTTAAAAACTAAAATTATATTTTCTATGTATGCCCCTTCTTATATACTGTACATACTATATGTTGCACATTCATACAAACATATTACCATAAAAGAGTATGTATGCAAAATCACATAGACCTTATGTTGTGGCCATTTATGGATTTTTCAAAGCTACTGTTGATTACACATGATTTCTGCCTACATGTTGACTTTAGAACCTGATACCCACAAAGGATGTGGCTCCACCATGGGTACCATCCTCCAGGTTCTTCCTCTGGCATCTGTACCAAGCCAGGAATGACATGACTTTGTCCAACATCCGGCAAAGACTAGTGGCCAACCTGATAATGACAGGCAGCCTACAAACTCCCCTATCAGGATCCTTATCCGTCCCTGGGGCAGAACTGAGATGTGGGGCATCCAAGGCCTATCAAAAGACTGAGGGTTGCCAGGTCTGCTCCTGCCTTTTGATTTTATTTCCTGTTTCTTCAAGGACAATTTTGGAGTCACCCTAGCTACAAGCAAGGGGTGGCAAGGCCAGTTCCCTCCCCTTCTCTTTAGGTCCCCAGCCCAGAAGAGTGACAGGTGGGGAGCTAATCCACTCCACACTGCTAAAGAAGGACCTGCTTGGGTTCAGTCTGCTGTTTTTCAGGCTGGGTCATAATCCCACCATGAGGTGAGGGTTCTGGGACCTCAGACCACCATGAAAGTATCCAGGGGGCTCTAGACATCCCACAATTAAGTGTCCTTCCTCAGCCCAGACCAGCCTGAGGGTCCAAACTTCCAAGGAACCCACAAATGATCGTTAGAATAATCTCATTCCTTCACAACCTCAGACAAGGAACGGAGTCCCCATTTTTCAGAGGAGGAAACTGAAATCTCCTGTCAAAGCAAGACACGATCACTGGACTTCTGTCTCCCAAAACAAGAGTTCTGGAACTTTCTGGTTACCTTTTAATTACTCATCACGAGGGGTTTCTTACCCTTCACAAATTTCACTCAGTTCTTTTCCCCCACCCTCTCCCTCAATGCCTAAACCTTCTACCCCCATCTTCCCTTTTTCCTGCCAATTCGATTTCCCAGTTTCTTCTCCAAGGTCTAAACACCTCCTTGAATTCCCGAGGACCCCTCTTCCATAGTGGCACCTACGTGGAGCATCTCCTTTTCTTTAAAAAAAAGTCCTTTCCTGTGGCTCAGAGCCACCATCCCCCTCGCTCTTGGGCCCCTCATTCCCCCTTTTCCTTTGCAAACCCACCCTGCTCAGGCCTTTGTGATCTGCTTCCTCAACTTCCTCGCCCTCCCGCCTCATCACCGACGGCCCCATCCTGCATACAGCCTGCCCCCAAAGTTTCAGAATCCGTTCTTGCAACTCTCCCAGGCGCTGCTCCCGCCCTCTCAAAAGCTCAGTCTTGAGCCTATTCTTTCCGAGAATCCCCGCATCCCATCACCACAGCCCCCGGCTCCGGCTCCCGCACGCTTACCCGACCAGAGCACCAGCTTGCCGTGCGCTTCCTCCTGGGAGTCCGAGTCCCCGGCCAGCAGAGTGGAGGTGGCCCCGTAGGGCAGCGCCGAGCCCAGGCACACGTTGTAGCGCAGCGGCTCGCAGGGGGCGGCCCGGCCGCAGTGGCTCAGCAGCGGCGGAGGGCCGGTCACGGCCGCGCTCCTTCTCGCGCTCCCGCCCGCGCTCCGCGGCCCAGGCCGGGTCGCGTTCCCGCTCGAGGCCGCCCCCCGGCCCGGGCCCCCCAGCAGCAGCAGCAGCAACAGCCCCAAGAGCAGGAGCGCCGGCCCCCGTGCAAGGCGGGCAGCGGCCATGGCCAAACCCGCCAACTCAGCAGAAGCCCTGGAGCCCCCGCCCGCTCTCCGGAGCCCCCAGGCCACACGCGCAACCCTTGGGTCCTCGGGGGCAGCTCAGGCGACCAGTGCGCCCCGCGAGTCTGGTGCCGGGCCCCCCCGGACGCTCTGCGCGCCGCGGGCCCTAGGCGCCCAACTTCGCAAACTTTGGAACCCGGGGCCCATGTTGGGCGGTGGAGGCTCGGGCCGGGATGCACAACTCTCTACCCCTTCCCCTGGCAATCCTAGTTATCTTCAGCTGCGGGAGCCCCCTGGGCCCCCAATCTCTAGCCCCATTCCTTCTCCCACCATTAAAACCACCTCCCGGCCCCGCGATGGAGGCCAGGCGCGGGCCGGGAGTGCTGGACTAGGTTCCCGGCTCCACCCTCGCGCCAGCCTGCGGCCCAGACGCCCACTTGGCTGCACAGTGCCGCAGCCCCGGGACTCTCCCCGCCAACTACCCGGCTCCTTTGTTGCTCTAGCTCGCTCGGCTCTCTGGAATGCACGGGCCTCGCCGGGCCAAGCCCGGCCCCCCCTCTTCTACGGCTGGGGGAGGGACTGGCCGAGGGAGGGAAGAGGAGGAGCTCGAGCTTCAGCGTCCCGGGCGCCCGGAGAGGCCCGGACCAGGGTCTCTGGTGACCCCGCCACTGCCTCGGGTCAAGAGATGGGTGGAAGTCGTGGGCAGTAGTTGCCACAAGACTCAGCAGACACCTTGACTGGCCTGAGGATCGTTCAGCCCGGTCGCCTGCAGGGAGAGGACTCCTCCGGTTTACGGTGCGAGAGACAGGGGGTGCTTGAAGCCTCTGTTACATCCCGCCCTGCTCCCCAGCCCGCCAGGCTTTTCTGCTTTGCGTTAGATCTTTCAACTTGTCCTAGGGCCCCATGGAGAAGACCGGGGTTTGGGGTTCCCACTCGTCTGAGTCCTTCCAGCTCAGGACCTGTGTGAGAGTCTACCTCGGAGTCACTCAGGGCAGCTGCCCCCCACTGCTGTTACCTCGGAGAGCAGGTGTCTGGAAACCAAAAGTGCCAACATCAAGCCTTTATGTGTGAAGCACAAATGTGTGAAGCTCTGAACTGCGGTTGCCAACAGCTGGCCTGGTGTGTCTTTAGTTATGTCCGAAGGAGGCCAGTCCCTCTTTGATGGCCCTTTGCTGCTCAGTCTGGCCAAGGAAGTTTATGCTGCTCTCCTTCCCTACTCTGCTGATTTTGCCTTTTCTCACTCCTTTGCTTGTCATGCTTTCAGTCACGGAATTTGATTTCACCCTGCAGCGGTTTCCATCTCTTAGTAACCAGGGGTCCAGGCAGAGAGTGGACTTGCGTTGAGCAACTGTTCCATGTTGCTGATGGGGCGGCTTTTCCTTTCTTAGCACTGCTCCTACCCCTTCAGCCTAGCCCAAGTGAACCAGTTCTGTTAGGTTTGGCCATTTTAGAGCAAATTAGCTATTGCACTTCAGCTACCATCCTCAAGTGTTACATAAGCCCTAGAGACAGAGAGAGGGAGGGAGAGAGAGAGAGAGAGAGAGAGAGAGAGAGGATTTAATTCAATTTAGCAAGTCTTTTTCTGAAATCCTGGGATGTATGTAGCACTGTGATAGGCATGACATACCTGTAGAACTTGAGAACTTGGATTTTTACTGTGGAGTCAAGGCTTGCCCTCAAGAAACAGTAATATACTACGACAAAGCAGCAAAGTCTCCCCTTCTAGGGCAAGGACCTTATTCTATTCTCTGTATCCACAAAGCATCCAGTGCAGTCAGGCATGCAATATTAACCACTCGATAAATAAGCTGCCAAAATGAGGTGTACAGTGAGTGTACTATAGGAATTTAAAGCAGGAAAAGGTCAGTGTGGGTAGCAGTGGAGGAGGTGGGATTTGAATCCAGCCCTGAAAAGTGAGTAGGAAGAGTTAGAAAAGTAGAGAGAAGCCCAGCTGGCATTACAAGTGGAGGAAACTATGACTATAGCTCAGAGCATGACCAGCCTGACAATCAGGACATAGTAGGGGGTAAGCAGGGAAACTGACTGGTAAGAAACCGTAAATGACGTACAGAGGAATTAAGGTTTCTTCTACTGGCAACAGGAAACAGTGAAAAATTTTGATCAGAGGAGTGATACGTTTAAGAACATTAATCAGTCAATGTGAGGATGGTATGAAGGGCAAGAGTCTGGAGACAAGGGACCATTTTAAGGGAAGTCGCTGGTGATTTGTGGAAGAAGTGGGAATAGGCTACGTCATCAGGGTGTAATATTCCTACTGGAAAAATAATTTAAAACATTATGACCTACCTCAGTTATTTTTTTTTTCTGTGATATAAATGAAATGGCTGTTATGTCTAAAGTTTGAGCCACAGAGAAGGTTGCCTGATACCACACCGTTGCTTTGCTTTAGGAACTTTCTCCACTTGTTTTCTATCTGGTTGTTACTGTGGCAGCTTTGAAGCCTTGTGGGATTTTCTCCGTAGTCCATGCATTAGGGAGAAACCTATGCATATGCTCAGGCAGCCCCTTACCTTTCTGCCTAAAAATGTTAGCAATTCTTCAAGTATGAAGGCTGTACCATCCCTTGTCTGGGATTTCTTGGGAAGCAGAAGAATCTTTTGTGGAAGAATCACATCATTGTAATATAGAACCTTTATTCTAGAGATTGAGAAGACCCTACAGTGTTGTCTTCCATCCAGAATGTTCTTCCCTTCAGGAGGAGGGAGAAGATGTGCTTATTTCTCAACTCCTTGAGACTCACTCTCCAGGAAGTGGAGATTCATGATCCTGTCAGACAGCAGGTTCAGGAGAGGATGGAAAATGTTCAGTGGAGACTGGGGAAGAGAGGATTTCTTGGTGGTTCCTGAATGGCATTCAAGGTCCTGGAGAAAGCCCATCCATCCCCTCCTTCAGGCATACCAAGACCGCCCGTGTCTTTTAGAGACTCCTCTGAGTGATCTGACACACTCCTGTTCTCCAGCCTCATGGTAGCAGGGTGAGAACTGCTCCTCTCCTGAGCCTGAGCCACCCCCGCCCAGTTCCTCCAGAGTCTTAACCCTGTATACATGTCGTAACACAGTCCTTTTGTCAGGTTCAAGAGAAGCTATCCTGTATGACAGTGTATTACAGTACTTGATTTGCTACAAGTAGCTTCTTGATTTCTGAGTCATTCTCACCAAATATTTTGGCATTTTGAGGTCACACATTCAATGTTGACTCTTTGTTATTTGCCTCTGGGCCCTCCACTTGAAAAGAATGAACATGAAAGTATCTATGGGCTATCCCTGGGTATCCTTGAGACCTTAGTTGCTTCCTTATGGTTCAGTTGTCACACTGGCCAGAATTTGGAGCATAATTATTGCAGTGCTCCAGTTCTTTCTTTTTTCCCGTGTTTCTTATTTTACAGTGAAGAGCATCAGTCAGAGGGAAAGGACAAAATGAGAAAGGAGCTAGATAAGCTACATCCTCAGTGAAGGAGTACAATCGATTTGGAGTTAGAGACCTGACTAGCCAAGGACCTCTGAACAACTTAGTCTAAGTCCCTATTTCTTTCTTTATAAAAATGAGATATTATCAGTTGTATTTCAATACGTCGGAAATGAACGTTCTGAAAAGGAAATTAAGATGGCAATTCCATTTACAAAGTATCTAAAAGAGTTAAGTATTTAAGAATAAATCTAACCTAGGAGGTGAAAGACTTGTACACTGAAAACTACAAAAGGTTGCTGAAAGAAATTAAAGAAGACCTAAATAAATGGAAAGACATTCTGTGTTCATGGATACGAAGACTTAGCAATGTTAAGATGTTAATACTACCCAAACAATCTATAGATTTAACACAATCCCTATGAAAATTCCAACAGCCTTTTTTCACAGAAATGGAAAAGTGGATTGATCCTGAAATACAGATAGAATTACAAGGGGCCCTGAATGGCCAAAACAATCTTGAAAAAAAGATTAATAAAATTAGAAGACTTAAACTTCACAATTTTAAAACTTACTACAAAGCTGCAGCAATTAAAACATTATGATAGGGCTTCCCTGGTGGAGCAGTGGTTAAGAATCCGCCTGCCAATGCAGGTGACACAGGTTCGAGCCCTGGTCCGGGAAGATCCCACATGACGCGAAGCAACTAAGCCCGTGCGCCACACTACTGAGACTGCACTCTAGAGCCCACGCACTGCAACTACTGAAGCCCGTGAGCCACAACTACTGAAGCCTGTGAGCCACAACTACTGAACCTACGAGCTACAATTACTGAAGCCCACGTGCCTAGAGCCCATGCTCCACAAGAGAAGCCACCGCAATGAGAAGCCCGCGCACAACAACAAAGAGTAGCCCCCGCTCACCGCAACTAGAGAAAGCCCGCGTGCAGCAACGAAGACCCAACGCAGCCAAAAATAAACAAATAAAAATTTATTAAAAACAACAACAACAACAAAAAACACTATGATACTGGCAGAAGGAGAGACATATAGGCCAACAGAATAGAATAGAGAGCTTAAAAATAAACCCTTACGTATATGGCCAACTGATTTTCTAGAAGGGTACCAAAACTATTCAGTGGGAAAACGACAGTCTTTTCAAAAGAAATGTTGGGAAAACTAGATATTTACATGCAAAAGAAGGAAGTTGTACCCTTACCTTACACAATACACAAAGATTAATTAAAAATGGATTAAAGACCTAAATTTAAGAGCTAAAATCTACAAAAATCTTAGAAGAAAACTGGGGGAAATCTGCATGACACTGTATTTGGCAAAGATTTTAAGGATAGGACACCCAAATTATAGGCAATAAAAGAAAACATAGATAAATGGGACTTCATCAAAATTAAGGACTTTGGTGCATTAAAGGATACTATTATTAAAGCAAAAAGACAACCAACAGAATGGGAGAAAATACTTGCAAATCATATATCTGATAAGGGATTAATATCCAGAATATATAAAGAACGCCTAAAACTCAACAACAGCAACAACAAAACAACCCAATTAATAAGGGCCAAAGACTTGAACAGACATTTCTCCACATAAGACATACAAATGACCAATAAGCACATGAAAAGATGCTCAACACCATTAGTCATCAGGGAAAGGCAAATCAAAACAACAATGAGGTACCACTCCACAACTATTAGGATGGCTATTAAAAACACACACACACACAGAAAAGATAACAAGTGTTGGCAAGGACATAGAAAAATTAAAATCCTTGTGCACTGATGGTGGGAATGTAAAATGATGCAATTGCTGTGGTAAAATTTTGTAGTTTTCCAAGG